AAAAAAAAAAAAAGAAAAAAAAGAACTCAACTCCACAAGGATCCTTGTGCTATTAAAGATAACAGTATTTTGCCCCAAATAGCCTCCCATAAGACACAGAAAGGAAAGTAAAAATAAAAATCAGGGAGCAATTAGATAACTAGCAATTAGATCCCAGCACGGTGGGAGGCTGAGGCGGGTGGATCACCTGAGTGTAGGAGTTTGAGACAAACTTGAGCAATAGCGAGACCCTGTCTCTACTAAAAATAGAAAAATTAGCTGGACGTTGTAGTGGGTGCCTGTAGTCCCAGCTACGTGGGAGGCTGAGGCAGGAGGGTTGCTTGATCTCAGGAGTTTAAGGTTGCTGTGAGATATGATGGTGCCACAGCACTCCCCAGGGGGAGAGAGTGAGACCATTTCCATAAAAAAAGATAATTAGGAGGCCAGTATGGTGGCCTGTAATCCTAGCACTGTGGGAAGCTGAGGCGGGTGGATTGCCTGAGCTTAGGAGTTCAAGACCAGCCTGAGCCAGAGTGAGACCCCATCTCTAAAAAAAAAAAAATAGCCAGGCATTGTGGTGGGCGCCTGTAGTCCCAGCTACTTTGGGAGGCTGAGGCAAGCGAATCACTTTAGCACAAGAGTTGGAGGTTGCTGTGAGCTAGGATGCCACAGCACTCTACCAAGGACGACAAAGTGAGACTCTGTCTTTAAAAAAAAAAAGTAATTAGGACATATCCTGAATGAGAAGTAAACAAGGATTAAAGTAGTCTTTTACATAGCACTACGCTAGCAGTTTTCTAAATTCAGAGACACAGCTCTAGATGTGCTATAGCACAGGGACAGGTCCAAGCTACACTTTGAAAGAGTCTGTGTGCACAGCGTGTCCCTGATCGTCTAGGGAAGTGCCAGTCTGTAGGAAACGAACATTACAGTCTCCAGGAGGGAAAAGGCACTCTGCACTGTGCTGCTGAGTCGCTTTCGGTCTGAGAAGGATTTGAACAGGATAAAAAATGGTAAGAAAAGAAGAAAATAATGAAACAGAGAAAAACAGAAAGAAAAAGCAAATGATAAAGAGAAAGAAGAAAAAGAAAGAAAAAATAAAAGTGAGGAAGAGAAAGAAGCAGAAGGAGAAGGGATGTGATTTGCTGGTGGCTGAGAACACAGACTGGGGGGCCTGCTTACAGCCCCGGGTTCCAAAAGAGAAACTGCGGTGGACACACCAGCCTCAGGCTGCTCCCTGCACAGAAGGTGCGGCAGGCACTTCAGGGGCAAACTCTAGACTCTGACCTCTGGGGGGCTTTGCAGGGACAAAGACCCTTAAGGCTACGGTGTCACTAGGTTCGGTGCCAACTCAGGAGTTATGAAAACAGCAGTCTGGTACCCATATGGCAGGAATTCCTGTGTGCCAGGACCGCGTTTCACAATCAGTCTTCTCTGCAGTAGCGCAGTGCCCTTGGGGTGCCCTTGAGCTACTGTGCAAAGATAGCGGGTATGCACATCGGTCTCTGGCCTGGAAGGCAGGACTGAGAGCAGCAAGGTCAAGCCCTCCAAGCTTACCCAGGTGGCCCGAAGGCCCATGAAAACACCATTTCTGTGGGGCAGACATGCCACCTGCTGTACCCTCACGTGACACCGGTCAAGACTCACCATGGCGTAATAGTTGCTGTTGACCATCAGCGGCCCCCGTCCTCGTAGGTAGATGTATTCCTCCCACCAGTCGCTCACCTGGTGGGTGCAAATACCAGACAACGTTAGCAGGAGCAGAGCAGGATGGATGGTGGCCCAGACCCCTGAGGAAGTGCACTGTCTAGGTCTAAGGGGGCCTTCCCAGAGTAGGAGACGAAGTCCTAACTGGATAGAACACAGCATCAAGGAAGTGGAGTCAAGACCGCCAGGAGGGGCCGGGCACAGTGGCTCATGCTTGTAATCCCAGCACTCTGGGAGGCCATGGCAAGTGGATCACTTGAGCTCAGGAGTTGCAGACCAGCCTGAGCAAGAGCGATATACCCATCTCTACCAAAAATACAAAAACTGCGTTGGTGGTCTAGTGGTGAGCATAGCTGCCTTCTAAAAATACAAAAACTGAGATGACAAGATCACTCAAGCCCAGGAGTTTGAGGTTGCTGTAAACTAGGATGCCGGAGCACTGTATCCAGGGTGACAGAGTGAGACTCTAACTCAAAAAAAAGCAGCAGCAGCAGCTCCCCTCCACCCATCCCAATCCAGTTCTGTGGTTATCGTGACAGAACTACCCTGAGGAACCACGTGCACTGTCACAGGTCCCCAGCACCCATGTCTTGATGATGGCACCCAGGCAAGCAGCAGCGGGCTCCTGTCAACCACACACAAATGCTGCCCATGCATGACCTTCAGGACCCAGAGGCCACTTTCTTTAAAGCTTTTGTTGAAGCACATAGAGACAGCTACACCAAGTTGAGTGCACAGCAAGTTCACGCTTACAAGTCCAGCACACCTGTACAACCGGCACCTGACCGAAAACAGAAAATGACCGCGGAGGCCCCCTGGAGACCTCCCTCCAGATGCTGCCCCCCAGCCGCGCTGAGACTCCCAGCACCATCTGCTGTTCTGTCCACATCACTTTTCACACCTTCTCTTCACATTCCTTGTCCTCTCCTGCTTCACCCTCCAGGTGTGTCCCCTGCTGTCCCTGCACAGTGCGCCAGCTCAGACACTCTGTTCCAAGCCAAACCCAACCCCATGGAGGTGATCGCTGCTGCCCTGACCAGCAAGCTCAGAAAGGATGACCTTGGCCTCAAAAGGAACAAAGGGGAGGAGAGGAGCATGTCACTAGGACAGCGCGTCACTGCCACGATAGAGGTGGCGCACAGCGGGGTTCCCTGGGAAGACCCAAGAAATCTCCCGCGCACAAAAACGGCATCGTGCCATGCGGGATGCCACCTCCCACCAGACAGTCCACCTGCACTCAGGGGAAACTGTCACTGCAGCTGCACTTCAGCCCTAGGGACACGGGTAAAACCACCACTGTAGCTTCTTGTTGGTCCTGAGGGTGACGTTGGCCAGTCTAAACTGTCACTGCAGCTCTGTCATCCCTCCCAAAATTGGTTTTTCAGACAGAAAAACTTCATCAAAAACAACAGTGTGTGGGTAGACTCACATAATTCGTGGCCCACCAGGACTTGAGCTTCAAATACCACTGTAACCTTGGTCCAAGACTGACAGCGAAGTCCCGGGCGAGCACCGTCATCCGCTTGAACTCTTCCTCCTTCATCAGCGGCCTCACCGATTCCAGATACTGGGGTTACAGAAAAAAACCACCAAGTTAAAACACACGGACCAAAGCCTAGAGCAGGGGTCCTCAAACTTTAAACAGGGGGCCAGTTCACTGTCCCTCAAACTGTTGGAGGGCCGGACTGTGGGCCCCGGGACGAGTCGGCTGCTAAGCAGGACAGGCAGCGGCAGCAAAAACACCCGGCAGGCCGGATAAATGTCCTCGGTGGGCTGCATGTGGCTCACGGGCTGTAGTTTGAGGACGCCTGGCCTATGGTTTCCTCACCTATGTCTTAGGAGCAGTCATAGCACATGTTAATGATGTTAAAACCATCATTAGAGACAGGGGGACTGATGCACCACAGTCCCCGCACAGGTCCCCCACACCATCCCCAAGTTGGTCTCACCAGTGATTAGTTAACTCATTCCAGTGTTAACTGGTATTGTAGATTAATGTTAACTATACAACTGAACTTCCTCATCCCTGTGGGCTTCACAAGTACCCAAATCCTGAGTCACCACAAATCCATCAAAATAATGCTACAGTTGATAAGAAAAGTTAACAGAGGACACAGTTATCACCTTATCTCAAATTGTACAAGAGTAATGCATGTAACCAAAATATTTACACCCCTAGAACATTCTGAAATCTAAAAAATAAAATTAGGGCCAGTGCCTGTGGCTCAGTGAGTAGGGCGCTGGGCCCATATACCGAGGGTGGTGGGTTCAAACCTGGCCCCAGCCAAACTGCAACAAAAAAATAGCCGGTGTTATAGTGGGCACCTATAGTCCCAGCTACTTGGGAGGCTGAGGCAAGAGAATCACCTAAGCCCAGGAGTTGGAGGTTGCTGTGCGCTATGATGCCACGGCACTCTACTGAGTGCAATAAAGTGAGACTCTGTCTCAAAAAAAAAAAAAAAAATGATAATAATAAAATAAAATTAGAAAAAAATAGCTTCCAGGCTAGGCGCAGTGGCTCACGCCTATAATCCTAGCACTCTGGGAGGCCAAGGAGGGTGGACTGCTTGAGCTCAAGAGTTCAAGACCAGTCTAAGCAAAAGTGAGAACTCATCTCTTCTAAAAAGAGAAAAATTGAGGCAAGAGGATGGCTTGAGCTCAAGAGTTTAAGGTTGCTGTGAATAAGATGCTAGGACACTCTACCAAAGGTGACCAAATGAGACTCTGTCTCAAAAAAAAAAGAAAAGAAGAAGAGGAAAAGAAAAACTAGCCAGGCATTGTGTGGCCAGCCATAGTCCCAGCTACTTGGGAGGCTGAGTCAAGAGAATTACTTAAGGCCAACAGTTTGTGGTTGCCGTGAGCTGTGACGCCACGGCACTCTACCCAGGACAACAGAGTGAGTCTCTTGTCTCAAAACAACAAAAAAAGGTTAACAATGAAATTTCAAGAGTGTCTCTTCTTGGGGTCAAGCGTTGTAGCTGACTCCTGTCAGAAGGATCACCTGAGCCTAGGAGGCTGAGGTTATAGTGAGCTGTGATGATACCAGTGCACTCCAGCCTGGGCAATGGAGCAAGACTCTGTCTTGGGGAAAAAAAATCTAAAATGTAATGATACATTAGGGAAAAGAAAGACTTCCTCTAAAACCTAATGAGAGCTACTAATAAAGCCAATCAACAGTGAGGTAACTGACAGGCACAGGTAAGATGTAAGCCTTAATCGCAAGTCAAGGCCAGCTCTGCCACCCACCCTGTTCACGGTGTCGTTGACGGCTGGCACAGGCAGGCGCGGCAGGGAGGTCTGGAAGCTGTACAGCATGGGTTTTCGGCCTGAAAAGATCTTGACCATACCCTGAAAAAAAGAAACATTTTCAAAACTGAGATGACATTAAAGAGCTGGAGACAATCCCCAATATGCAACTTGCTGACTTTCTGTGGCCATTTACCTTTCCTCCAGTCCCCTTTCTGCCCCACACTTGCAGGCCCTAAGAAATAAACACTAAGCCCCTAATGAAAACCAGACTGAATAAAAGCCAAGTTTGAAAGAGGCTTTGAGATACCGCTGTCCCAGTGTCAGTCCAAGGCCAGGCTTCTTGCTGCATCTGTGATGTCACATCCTCACTGTGCTTCTGCACATGGGGACCTTGGTGTCGGGACTGGCCCAAGGCCCTAGGAGCCATGACCAGGGGAAGGGATGCTGTCCCCCTGCCATCATCATGCCTCTTGGAGAGCACCTCTGTGGACCCTTGTTTGAGGTCAGATGACGGAGACCTGTATAATAACTGCTCGCCTCATAATGACCAAAACAAGGGAATTTCTAGGGCTCTGGGGTGGGGGGCTCTGGTGCTGAATAGGGCTGGGACTGACTTCCTTGGAAGAGAACATATTTAACCTGTTCTGGGAATGGGGGGAAATCACCCCTGGATCTCTCCTAAGTGCTAAATTATGCTTGTCTGGAAATCAGAAATCTTACACCCAAAGAATAATAGCAAGAAACTGGTTTGGGAGAGTGGAGTCCAGAGATGTAAAGGGCATGGAGGTGACCTGCACACTCCTCCCACAATCAGGCTCTGGAGGTCAGGCCCGGCCACACCTGGAGCCACTGAGCAGCAACTCAGCAGGAGGGCACGGGGCCAAAGTCAGGTGCAGACAGGTAACCGAGGCTGACACTCCTTCTAAACAGGCAGATCCCTGGGATAGCCCAGAAGAAGAAAGGTTCTGAAGAGAATGTTCTCACTGTGGGCAGCTCATTAAAATTATCTAGGCCACATCACAAAACTTGTGTGAATAGCACTCAGATCCTAAGACCCAGGTTGCGGTTAAAGTGCTCAGTGGAGCCTGAAGCCACCACCCAAAGGGGCAGGTGGTACCCCTGGGGGCCTATGCCCCAAAGACAGAAGCCTCCAAAGTCCAGAGATGATTCCTACCCCCCTTAGATGGTTTCTTTCCAGAACACTTGAGTTCACAAAAACATTTAAATAGGGCTGGACCATGGTGGCTGTTGCCCATATTCTCAACAGTTTAGAAAGCCAAGGCAGGCTTCAGCCCAGAAGTCCGAGACCAGCCTGAGGAACAGTGAGACCCTATCTCTACTAAAAATAGAAAAACTACGGGCCAAGGTCACTGGCTCACAACTGTAATCCTAGAACTATGGAAGGCCGAGGTGGGTGGACTGCTTGAGCTCAGGAGTATGAGACTAGCCTGAGCAAGAGACCTTCTCTGTACTAAAAATAGATAAACTACCTGGGTGTTGTGGCAGGTGCCTATGGAGGCTGAGGCAAGAGGATCACTTGAGCCCAGGAATTTGAGGTTGCTGTGAGCTATGATGACTCCATAGCACTCTATCAAAGGCCACAGGTTGAGACTCTTGTCTCAAAAAAAAAAAAAAAATGCTACAGAACTCACTAACATCATTCAAGAAAAATCACACTTTTGTGTCACAGTGAGTCAAACCGCTCCAGCAACTAGGGTCACAACCCAAGTCGGAAGCCAAGTGTGAAGAAGACTCTTCTTTCAAAGGCCTGGCACTATTCATACACAGGGAGGGGAGCTCAGTTACCATCCAGATCTTGGTGGCGCGGCTCATCTTGCCGTGCTCTGCGAACATCCAGCCGTGGTAGGACAGCAGCACCTTTAGGGAGTAGCGCATGGTGGCGATGAGGGCCACCCAGAGGCCTGTGCTGAACAGGACACCACTGACCACATTCTTCGTTTGGCTGGACATGTAGCCACTGCGGAGACCGAACAAGGAGAGTTGCAAATGTGTCAGCAGGAAAGGGATGCTCAAAATGGTCTGGGGAGGGCCCCCCAAACAAACCAGGGGAAAATACACAACTCCCTCCAGGGTCTCAGCACAAATGGCAGAGAGGGCACTGAGGCTGGGCCTGCCCATGGTGCAAGCCACGCGCGGCCAACCTGCTGCTCCTCCACTGGCCCACACAGAGATTTGTATCAAAAGAACTTGTCTGAGACCTACACAGGAATATTTATCATGAACAAAGAAACGAATCACAAAGTGATCATTTAAGTAGTCAACTTAAATGCAGAAAACATTTTCACTTGAGAAGGAAAGTGGTATATTTTGTGGTAAAGACGGGACTTTTTTAGGGGGCGGGTACAGAGTCTCATGTTGTTACCCTCAGCAGAGTGTTGTGGCGTCACAGCTCACAGCAACCTCCAACTCTCGGGCTCAAGCGATTGTCTTGCCTCAGCCTCCCAAGTAGCTGTGACTATAGGTGTCCGACACAATGCCTGGCTATTTGTAGAGACTGGGTCTCACTTTGGCTCAAGCTGATCTTGAACCTGTGAGCTCAGGCAATCTACCCTTCTGGACCTCCCAGAGTGCTAGGATTACAGGGGTCAGCCACTGCACACAGCCCTTGAGAGGGCCAGATTAGCTCCATTTTGCTGTTTACTACACAAGCCTCACTCCTAGCTGTTTACTACACAAGCCCCACTCCTAGCTGTTTAAACTCCATTCCTAGCCCTTCCGCCCCAACCTCTGCCAGTAAAACCTGCACAGCCACTCCCTGCTGCCTTCCCCCACCCCTCACCTGTACCAATCCAAATCCTCCTTTACTAATGAAATCACCAACCACCAATCAAAAGTGTACTCGTATCTGACCCTACCCCTCTTGCTTTCTGTACCCCATAAAAACTTCCTCCACCCCGGGTTCGAGGCTTGTCCTAGGCTTGCATGCCAGGAGAGTCCAGACCCGGGTCTGAATAAAACCTCACCTCATGCCTTTTACATCGGAGTGTATCTCGGGTTCGTCTGTTGGGGCTATTTGGGAGAATAATTTTCGGGCACAACACCCTAAAGATGAGGCTTTAAATAAACAAATGCATACACTGTGTAACCTAATCATTTGTGCCCTCATAATAACCTGAAATTTAAAAAAAAAAGATGAGACTTTAAAAATGAGATAAGGGCTCGGCGCCTGTGGCTTAAGTGGGTAAGGTGCCAGCCACATACACCTAAGGTGGCAGGTTCGAATCCAGCCCAGGCCTGCCAAAAGCAACAATGACAGCTGCAACCAAAAAATAGCTGGGTGTTGTGGTGGGCGCCTATGGCCCCAGCTACTTGGGACACTGAGGCAGGAGACTCACTTGAGCCTAGAAATTGGAGGTTGCTGTGAGCTGTGATGTCACAGCACTCTACCCAGGGGGATAGCTTGAGGCTCTGTCTCAAAAAAAAAATTAAAAATAAAATAAAAATGAGATAAGCCCTTACAGTGGCTCACTCCTATAATCCTCACACTGCCAGAGGCTGAGGAGGGAGGATTCCTGAGGCCAGAGGCTTAAGGTTGCAATGGGTCATGGTCACACCACTCCAGGCACTCCAGCCTCAGTGATAGAGTGAGACCCTGTCTCTAAAAAATGAAAATAAAAACAAATTAACAAAAATTAGACACAATGTTAATCTTCTATGGCTTTTGGTTTTAGTTGTTTTGGAAACTGCAAAACATTTTAATAATCAAAACTATTTAAATGATTAAAACAACCAATATACACAATTTAAAGATATCTTCATCCATTTAGCTGGGGGCGGTAGCTCATGCCTGTAATCCCAGCATTTTGGGAGCCCGAGATAGGAGGATCACTTGAGCCCAGGAGTTTAAGACCAGCCTGAGCTAGAGTGAACCCCGTCTCTACTAAAAAAATAGAAAAATCAGCTGGGCATCACAGTGGGCGCCCATAGTCTCAGCCACTCCAGAGGCAAGAGGATCGCTTGAGCTTAGCGTCTGAAGTTGGCTGATGCCATGGCACTCTGTCCTGGGTGACAGAATGAGACACTGTCTCTAAATAAATAATATAATTAATATGATATAATATAATACAATATAATTTAGAAAAATCTGTGAATTTATCAGTGAAATATATAAAAATAAAAACAACCCATTTAGCATGGATAATATTTAAATCACACAGGAACAAATTTTCTTAAAGTGAAATGTGTTTGCTTTAAAACCTATATTTTCCTATAACCTGTCAGATCTGGCCTTTTAGCTCAAGTCTCTACTTTAAATCCCTATGTCCTTTCCTGATCACCTCATCTGCAAGCAAACTTGAGTTTAGGAATTAAGGAGTTATCTTTTGGATAATCCACATTTTTAGATTTCTACCTCCTGTGTAGCCAGGGTGAAAACACATACATACTTGACTCACAAAAATCGAACCGTTATTAGCATAAACAAATAAAGGACACAATCAGGACTTTTAATGTACACATATAGGCATGCAATTTAAAACATTAGCATAAAGCTTTCTTTGAAAGAACATGCTCCTCATGAGGCTGCAGGAGAGAGAGATGCACAGACAGACAGATTTGAAGGCAGCGCCCTGGGGACAGGAGAGGTTCTCTCCAGAAAGGAGGCACCAGAGCACTCTGAGGCTGGGAAGCACTGGGTCTCAACCTTGTCTTTCTAAATGCAGGCCAGGGATGGCCCAGTTTACCAAAATAGGTTTAAGAGGGACGAAGAAACAAATCTTATAAAGACCCAGATTACACAGGGCTCTTAATAGCCAACACTTCTAAATATAACCCAGTTTTAAGAGATTTTTCTGTCGCCGGTGGCTCACGCCTATAATCCTAGCACTCTGGGAGGCTGAGGCAGGTGGATTGCTTGAGCTCACAAGTTTGAGACCAGCCTGAGCAAAACTGAGACCTCGTCTCTACTAAAAATAGAAAAACTGAGACAAAAGGATCTCTTGAACCCAAGAGTTGGAGGTTGTTATAAGCTGCAATGCCACAGCTCTGCCCAGAATAACAGCTTAAGACTCTGTCTCAAAAAAAAAAAAAAAAAAAAAAAGAATCTTTGCTGACCCTGCAAAAGGGTGAAAAGTGGGTAGGCAGAGCCGCAGACACCACAGAAAAACAGCTGTCCTCCTGCCAGGCACACCTCCGCCATCTGATGAGACGCTTACTCTGTCTCTTGCAGACGCTTATAAAGGTATAAGCCAGCGTTCTTGAGCCAGCTTGAAGTTATGAGCAACTTGGCTGGTTTCTCCATGACTCCTGAGTATCCAGGGTCATATATATATATATATATATATATATATATTTTTTTTTTTTTTTTTAAACAAAGAGTCTCACACTGTTGCCCAGGCTAGAGTGCTATGGTGTCATTGTAGCTCATAGAAACCTCAAACTCTTAAGCTCAAGCCAATCTTCCTGCCTTAGTCTCCCCAGTAGCTGGGACCACAGGTGCCTGCCACAACACCCAACTAATTTTTCTATTTTTAGTAGAGATGGGGTCTCATTCTCGCTCAGGCTGGTCTTGAACTCCTGAGGTAAAGCAATCCTCCTGCCTCAGCCTCTCAGAGTCTAAATTATAATTTCTAAATTACATGATATAGTTACAATGTGTGTGTGTGTGTGCGTGTGTGTGTGTGTATAGGGAGGAAACCAGAGCTGGTGGGTTCGAACCCAGCCCGGGCCAGCTAAACAACACAGTAATGACAACTGTTAACAAAAACCAGCCAGGTGTTGTGGCAGGTGCCATAGTCCCAGCTACTTGGGAGACTGAGGCTAGAGAATCGCTCAAGCCCAAGAGTTTGAGGTTGCTGTGAGCTGTGACGCCATGGCACTCTAACGAGGGTGACATATTGAGATTCTGTCTCAAAACAAAACAAAACAAAACAAAAACCAGCAATAAAACTCGGGGGGGGGTCAATTGAGCTCTGGCTGTGGGATTTGAGACAGCAGTCAGCAATGAAGGCAGCGCTGCACTCCAGCCTGGGTGAGTGAGCAAGCCACTGTCTCAAACCCAAAAAACGACCCCTTAAGTATTAGCAATTTCTTAGACAACTGGAGATTTCAGAGGTTACTTACGTCGTGTCAAGGGTCCGGTTGATTTTTGCAATTATTCCTAAGGAGGGGTCAATTTTGGCATACATGGTCGACATCACGCCCACCACCACGATGAGCCAACTGGAGGGGCTAGCCGGGTACACACCAGTGATGATGCCATTCTGAAAACAGACATGCAAGCTGTGAGCCACCCCCCACCAAAATGCACTGTGATTACATTGCACTGCACTTCCCCACGGGCTGCTGAGAAGTCAGGGGAAGAAGGTATCTAACAGCACGTGGGCAACTCTAGAAACCTTCCTAGAAGTCACAGCCTGTGGCTGTTCCAACTTGTGTCATGTACTTCTGAGGCAAAACCTTCCCTGAAACAGTTCTCTCAGGAGCAACCCCAGGACTTAGACTCACCCAAGGCACTAGTTTAACATACAGATTCCCAGGCTCCACCTGGTCTGGCCTGTATGCCCACTGGTGAAGGGCGCCATAAAGTCCTGAGGGCTTCCCCCCAGCCGTGCCCCACCCAGGACACCCCAGCACCTGACTCCAAACACCCCTCCCGATGTTCCAGCCTCAGGACACAATTTGACCTTTAAGTACTTACTGGAGACCTTGCTCCACATTGAAAATGTGCTGTAAGCTACTTCAGTCAAAAAGAGGGAGGCAGCTGGGAGCAGTGGCTCACTCCCCATAATCCTTACAGGTCTGGGAGGCTGAAGGGAGAGGATTGCTAAGGCCAGGACTTCAAGACCAGCCTAAGCAAGAGCAAGACCCTGTCTCTACTGAAAACAGAAAAACTAGTTGAGTGTTATCGCCAGCACCTGTAGTCTTAGCTACATGGGAAGCTGAGGCAGGAGAATCACTTGAATCCAGGAGTCTGAGGTTGCTGTGAGTGAGGATGAGGCCACAGCACTCTAGCCTGGGTGACAGCAAGACTCTGTCTCAAAAAAAAAAAAAAAAAAAAGAAAATTCCAACTAAAAGGCAAATTCTTACTAAAGTCACCTTAATAAGATATTGAATTGACCAAGATAACAGATTTAGAAATTATCAAAGCTTTCTCTAAATTCTTTGGGAAGATGCCTTGGCACCACTGAATTTGCAAAACTGGAAAGATGTTCTCTGAAGTAAAAAATTTCTGCCTTTCTTGATTCACCCCATCTATAGCTGATGGCAGCCTGCGTCAACGGCCTGGCTCCCTGTGGGCGGGCTGGTCCTGTCAGAATGCCGCTGGAGTCATGCACTTCCTTTTCCTCCTCACCCTCACTGTGTTAATCGTCACCTACCTTTACGGGCAGACCACAGAGGGAAGGAAGATTACAATCAGGCTGCTCCATGAACAGGTCACTAATGAGGGCAAAGAATAAATGTGTCTGATAGAAAAGTGGGTGCAGGTGCGAGACAGAGCACCATGAGCCCCCACACTCTGGTCCTGGAGAAGGTGGAGTGACTTGGCCTCTCTACTCCGGGGATGAGACACTGTCCCTGACCTGCGATGTAGGCAATCAGCTCAAGAGGATAATCCAAGGACCTGGTGATTATTGTGGTATCCGGACACCAATCAAATAGTAAGATGAAAGTGGACACCTTTCATGGACCTTTATGGAGTTTCCCAGACAGGAATCCAAGCCTTTAGCCAGGAACCAAAACGGACTAGAATGTAAATATCCAAGTAGAATTGGGCATCCCCTGGTATGTTCTTTTTTTTTTTGGCTGGGGCTGGGTTTGAACCCACCACTTTTGGCATATGGGGCAGGCGCCCTACCCTTTTGAGGCACAGGTGGCGCGCACCCTGGTATGATCTTAACACCTGGATTGTTACTTTTTAAAGTACTTGAGGTTTTCCAATAAAGTTTGCCGTCATATTGAAACTTAAAAAAAAACAACAACAAAACAAAACAGGAGGAAGGGCGTGGTGGCCCACGCCTATATAATCCAGATAATCCAGGGTAACAGCTTGAAACTGTCTCAAAAAACAACACACCAGGCACAGTGGCTCACACCCGTGATCCTAGTACTCTGGGAGGCCAAGGCAGGTAGGTTGCTTGAATTAAAGAGTTTGAGACTAGCCTGAGCAAGAGTGAGACCTTATCTCTACTAAAAATAGAAAAAAGTAGTCAGATGTTTGGCAGTGCCTGTGGCTCAGTGAGTAGGATGCCAGACCCATATACCAAAGGGTGTCAGGTTCAAACCTGGACCTGGCCAAACGGCAACAAAAAAATAGTCGGGCGTTGTGGCAGGTACCTGTAGTCCTAGCTACTCAGGAGGCCGAGGCAAGAGAATCGCCTAAGCCAAAGAGCTGGAGGAGGTTGCTGTGAGCTGTGATGCCACAGCACTCTACCGAGGGTGGCAAAGTGAGACTGTCTCTAAAAACAAAAAAAGTAGTGGGCGGTGCCTGTGACTCAAAAGGGTAGGGCACTGGCTCCATATACTGGAGGTGGCAGGTTCAAACCCAGCCTTGACCCCAAAAATTAAAAATAAAAAAGTAGCCCGATGTTGTAGTAGGCACCTGTAGATAGCTTGAGCCCAACAGTTTGAGGTTGCTGTGAGCTACAATGCTACGACAATCTACCCAGGGTGACGGAGTAAGATTCTGCCTCAAAATAAATAAATAAATAAATCAAAACAAAAAACCACACCATACTCTGAAGGCCAGCTGATCCTTCTTCCTCTGCTCGATTAGACCATCCTCAAATAAACCAGGGGATCCACATGACCACATACTGTGTATCCTCTATTTTTCTATCAGTCTTTCCTCTCCAGGTCTTTAAAAACCAAAGAACAGAAGCCAGGCGTGGTGGCTCACACCTGTATTCCTAATACTTTGGGAGGCTGAGGTGGGTGGATTGTCTGAGCTCAGGAGTTTGAGATCAGCCTGAGCAAGAGTGAGACCCCATCTCTACTAAAAGTAGAAAACTATCCAGGCATTGTGGTGGGGGGCCTGTTGTCCCAGCTACTTGGGAGGCGGAGGCAGGAGGATCGCTTGAGCTCCCAAGAGTTTGAGGTTGCTGAGAGCTGTGACGCCATGACACTCTACCCAGGGTGGTAACAGAGACTGTCTCATAAACGAATAAATAAAGGAAAGTAAAATAAAATAAAAGGAAAAAGAGGCAGTGCCTGTGGCTCGGTGAGGAGGGCACCAGCCCCGTACACCGAGGGTGATGGGTTCGAACCCAGCCTCGGCCAAACTGCAACAAAAAATAGCCGGGCGTTGTGGTGGGTGCCTGTAGTCCCAGCTACTCGGGAGGCTGAGACAAGCAAATCACCTAAGCCCGAGAGCTGGAGCTTGCTATGAGCTGTGAGCCATGGCACTCTACTGAGGACGACAAAGTGAGACTCTGTCTCAAAAAAAAAAAAAAAAGAAAGAAAAAAAGAAAGAAAGAACAGAAAAGAAAAGAACACTTCTACTGGGTCCAGTATGATGGCCAAGCTCCCACACCCTAGTTTCTATTTTCCTAGATCAATCTAGGAAAATCCTCAGTGGGAATCCAGTCGGTCAAACTCAGCTTCCCCCTGCAGGTGGCACCTCTCTCACTGTGGTGGATATCATAGATGGCAACAGGCACTGGATGTCACTGCGTCCCTCGGTCCATCATTTGCCTGGGTGCAGGGACACCTGTGCAGCTCACCTGGCTCCCAAGTCCTCGCCCCTCTCTGCTGTCCCTGCTGCCACCAGCTCCTGCACTTGGGTCTCTCTATTCCACATTACCCTTAGGGAAGGGACTTTGGGGAATCCACAAACTCAACAGCTGCTACCCCTGGGGTTGGTGTGGACAGTTCACCAACTATATGAATATTTTTCATTTTTTCGAACACGTATCTTTTCCTTTGGGGATGTTTAAAATAAAACTAAAATAGGTGAAAGACTGGCTTGGCGCCTGTGGCTCAAGCGGCTAAGGCGCCAGCCACATAAACCTGAGCTGGCGGGTTCGAATCCAGCCTGGACCCGCCAAACAACAATGACGGCTGCAATCAAAAAACATAGCTGGGTGTTGTGGTGGGTGCCTGCAGTCCCAGCTACTTGGGAGGCTGAGGCAAGAGCCTCGCTTGAGCCCAGGAGTTGGAGGTTGTTGTGAGCTGTGATGCCACAGCACTCTACCCAGGGTGACAGCTTGAGGCTCTGTCTCAAAAAAATAAATAAATAAATGAAAGACAAGAGAAGTGCTTAAAAAGAGGAATACAGGGCAGAGCCTGTGGCTCAGTGAGTAGGGCGCCAGCCCCAGATACCGAGGGTGGCAGGTTTGAACCCAGTGCCAGCCAAACTGCAACAAAAAATAGCCAGGCGTTGTGGTGGGCACTTGCAGTCCCAGCTACTTGGGATGCTGAGGCCAAGAGAACTGCCTAAGCCCAAGAACTGGAGGTTGCTGTGAGCTGTGACACCACAGCATTCTACCAAGGGTGATAAAGTGAAACTCTGTCTCTAAAAAAAAGAGGAATACATTTCTACTTCTTTAGGTAAATGGAACTAAGAATACATGGAGTAAACTGTATTTGAATTATGTGGATAGTTTTCAATGTCTGAATATTTCAACAGCAAAGTAGTTATTACATGAACTCACAGAAGTTTGAAAAAAAAAAAGTCCTTTTTGGCCAAGATGTAAAGGATTCTGACTCAGAGCAGAAGATGTGGGTTCTAGTCTTTACTCTGCCTTCTACTAAGTAGGTCACTGGCCCTTTGAGCCTCAGTTTCCCCCCATTTCACGGCGTGCTGATTCACTCCATCTGCCTTGCAGAATCACTCTAGGAATTCTGTGGTCAAAATATATGTGAAGGTGCCTGATAAATTATGTGCCAGTCACCAGTCCAAAACAATTATTCCTCATGACAACATCAGGAGGCCATTCTTAGATGTTAAAGCAAATACCATATAGATTTAAATAAATATTGGAAACCTTGAATCTGATGAACTTCTTCTTCCAGGAGTGGAGTCCAGAGAGATAGATTTGCTTAAGGGCTTCATGGCTCAGCTGGAGGTCGATCCCTTCTGGAGTGACCGTGAACTGAAAGGCCACAGCCTGGTGGGCTTCTGCCATCTTCAGAGACTCCCTGCAAGGTGAAGGGGGAAGGTGTGAGATGAGAGAGTAGTTTCCAGCTACTAGGAAAACCCTTCCTTCAGAAGCATCGCTAGTAAAAAAAAAAAAAAAAAGCATCACTAGTTCTGAAATTAAGGTTTTACTTTTTGTTGACAGCTGATGCCATCACCACACTTGACATCAGCTTGCCTGTCCAGCACTGTACAGGCCCAGGATGGCGAGCAGAGGCCAGGCCTGTGGAATCCCCAACCGCCAAGTGTACCCCCCAGAACCAAAGCCCCAAGCCAGCATCTCAGGCCACACCCACTGATGCCAAGTTCAGCAGCTTGTACTGCAGAGATGAATCTTATTCCTGCTTCCAGTCCCCCAGCACAGAAGAAACCCAGGGTATCACAATGGTCCTAGACCCATGACCTGCTGTTGGAGACTCTAGACCAGCCCCAAATGCCTCGGCCTCTGGCATCCCACAGCGGCTGTTCTGATAAACCGTTTTTGGGTTTCATGCAGCGCTATGAAGACTACAAAAATCACTGGTGCGGAACTATCCAGAATGGGTGTCCACAGGACAAAGCTGGGCTTCCTCCTCAGGGCTCTGGCTGAGGTCACACTTGCTTCAGCAACCTCAGGGGCTGAAGCTCCTGAGCCCAACCCCCCACCCCGTCCCCCCGCACCCCCCCCCACCAGCAGAGGAAGCAGCTTTTCGAATTCTTTGGTATGTTCCCGGCTCCCTTCCATCCTGCTACTGTCCCCTTACTTGGCAGACTCTGATGCACACCTGCTCAGGACACCAGAAACACCGTCACCCCCCTGGGCCTCCCTGCTTCCCAGGACTCGGCTCCTCCTAGCTTTGACTGCCATCTCTTCCTGTGCTGTACTAAGTGGACACAAAGGAAGCTACGAGGAAAAGTTCCAAGAACCATAATAATAACCTAAAATTGTGTGTGTGTAATGTATGTGTGTTCTCTTCACTTGTCAGCTGTCCTGTTTTTACCCTTGATGCCCACCAAGGACCACATGCAGAACCTGTCCCAACCAGCAGATGTCACAGTTCCAAAGAGATCCACTCACAGAAGCCAGGCTAGCGCAGTTCCCAGCCAGCTAAAACACAGGAAGGGCCAACTGGCAGCCAGCCCTGAAAGGCACCAATTCCCACCCCTCTGTCCACTCTGCAAACATTTGCTGACCACCTCCCGAGTGCCAGCCCGGAGAGGAGCGAGCTGCTCACCAGCAGCCACGGCCCTTCTGCCACCTGCAGCTTGGACACAAGACCGAGAGCAAGCAAACAGGTGACGTCTGGATAGCACTTGGGGTTCAGAAGGAGTGTCGGGGGGCCTCTTGGGTGACACTGAAGCCCAGGAGATAGCCCAGCCAAGGGGAGAGCAGGCAAGTCCTTCAGGCCCAAAGGCAGACATGGAGGGTAAGGTGCTTTACTGGGACCGGGAGCAAGGGCAGGAGGGAGGACGACCCACAGGAGACAGGTTCCAGAGGCACTTGGGCTGGACAGGCTGATAAAACGGACCATTGGGCTAAGGCCTGAACTCAAGGAGCCACTTACTGACCCAGGGAAAGTCTCAGTGACGGAAGGGGTCAGGCTGGGGGTGGAAGTTGAAAATTCACACATGGGCTCGGCGCCTGTGGCTCAAGCGGCTAAGGCGCCAGCCACATACACCCAAGGTGGCGGGTTCGAATCCCCAGCCCGGGCCCGCCAAACAACAATGATGGCTGCAACTAAAAAATGGCCGGGCGTTGTGGCAGGCGCATGTGGTCCCAGCTACTTGGGAGGCTGAGTCAGGAGACTCGCTTGAGCCCAGGAGTTGGAGGTTGCTATGAGCTGTGATGCCACAGCACTCTACCCAGGGGGATAGCTTGAGGCTCCGTCTCAAAAAAAAAAAAAAGAAAGAAAGAAAATTCACACATGGACCCACTACACCTAAAATGTCACCAGGGGCACGCAGTGATGGAGAGGGAGAGGCTGAGGTGGGACACACCTGGGAGCTGTCAGCACACAGAACCTGCCAGCTCTGCTTTGACAACTGTGAAAGAAGATAGCACGTCAGCAAAGCTATATCCCCCTGGGTTATAACCTTACTTTACGGCAGCGTGCAAACCATTCAACAGTATTTACATATTGCTTAGTGAGCATGAAGCAAACTCCGATGGCCTGGCTAATTTTGAAGAAATAGATCCCATTTTTGAAAGCAGTAAGATCACCAATGAATGCTTGCCCAGATAAACACACAGTGCTGAAGAGGGCATCAAAGCAGTTGGCTCGGATCCACCGCTCAGAAAGGGGTGGAGCAGCTCTGAGCCTCTCCCAGACTCTCCAGGTTATTCTTAACACCCTCCCCAATTACAGCCTTCACCCTCAACATGAGGCAGGCGAGAAGTGAGCGTTTGGCACAGCAGGCATTGTGGCAAATAAATGCCGAGACCCAGTACCCTTTCAGTGATTTACACGATTTCAGGGGCTTTATTCAGATCATGAGGGGATTAATGGCAGGAGATTAAATACAGCATTTGTAGCCAATTCTACACAAAGGTTCATGTCCAATCTGCTGGGAGAGCCAGATGCGGGGGACATTCACAGGGTCCTTTCTAGGAGTAAAATGCCAGTGCAGAGCTGTCTGAATTTAGTGAAGTATGTGCTTAATTTGTCTGGTTCAGAGTGACCCTAAGACTGCTAAATGCTCCTAAAATAGACGATTGGTTTTTCTAGTTTATCAAAGTAGCGGAGACGCCTGCCCTAGACAGCCTCCCCCTCTCAGAGCCACAGGCAGTATTTACTGAACTGGACGACAGGGGAAGGGCTAAGATGCTCCCTCTGCAAAACTCAAGAGTGGAGATCCCACCCTTAATCCTGGCTTCAACAGCCTGTTGGTTAAAAGCATTGACAGGGTCATGTCCGTACTCCTGCCAGGTTTTGCTTTCCACTGTCTCAGTTACTCACGGCAGCTCAAGTCTGCAAATATGGAAAATTTCAGAAATAAGCAATTTATCAATTTAAAATTTATACCATTCTTTTTTTTTTTTTTTTTTTTTGAGACAGAGTCTCACTTTGTTACCCTTCGTAGAGTACTGCGGCACCACTGCTCACAGCAACCTCCAACTCTTGGGCTCAAGCGATTCTCTTGCCTCAGCCTCTCAAGTAGCTGGGATGATAGGCGCCTCCCCCCCCAAACAACGCCCAGCTATTTTGAGAGACAGAGTCTCACTCTGGCTCAGGCTGGTCTAGAACCTGTGAGCTCAGGCAATCCACCCATCTCGGCCTCCCAGAGTGCTGGGATTACAGGTGTGAGCCACCTTGCCTGGACATTCTTAGCAGCATGAAGAAATCTCCTGCCTACCTGCTCGCTTCCACTCAGGAAAGGATCATCCCTTTGTTCAGTCTATCCACGCCATACAGGCCAGTCACCTGTTACTACATAGGAAAAAACAAAGCGTATACAGTTGTGTTGTCCCTCAGGATCTTGGTTCCAGGACCCCAAGCACACCAAAATCCATGGGTGCTCAATCCCTAGTATGAAACAGCACAGTATTTGCATATAACCTATGCACATCCCTCCCTGTGTGTACAGACTTTGATCAGGAGCATCCAACCTGCGATCCACAGACCACATGCAGATCAGGGCTGTTTTACCTACCTGTGGTGTCAGATAACACAAGAAAAGTTCATCAGCCTTCACTAGTGTTTGTGTATTGATTTATTTGTTTGTTTGTTCTTGAGACAGAGTCTCATTGGCACCCTGGGATCAAGTGCCTATAACTCTTGGGCTCAAGTGATCCCCTTGCCTCAGCCTCCCCAGTAGCTGGGATTATAGGCACCCGACACCCCACTTGGCTAGTTTTCCTATTTTTAGTAGAGATGAGATCTCACTCTTGCTTAGGCTACTCTCCAACTCCTGAGCTCAGGAAATCAAAAAGATGGAAAACAGCACCAGATGAGGATATGGATAAATCAGAATTCACATACAGGGCTTATGGGAGTGGCATACGGTTGGCAAACGTCTGGCAGTTCCTCAAAAGGTTAAAAACACAGAGTTACCACACGACACAGCAACTCCACTCCCGGGGATCTACCCAAGAGGCAGAGGTTATCTACACAAAAACATGCACCCAAATGCCCGCAGCAGTTTAATCTGTAACAGCCAAAAGGTGCATCATGTGCATCCAGTGGTGAGTGCGTGAATACACGTAGTCTGTCCACCAGCGGATCGCCACACAGCAATAAAAATGAACATGGGACCACCACGAGCCAGGGCTGGGATGCATCCGGAAGGCATGATGCTGAGTGAAAGCCAGACACAGAAGGTCACATATTGCATGACTTCAGGTAATCTACAGAGACAGAAAGACTGGTGATTGACAGGGCCCCGGGCGGACGGGCAGATTGACAGGTGGTGGCAAAGGAGCCGGTTAGGAAAATCTCTTCAAACTCACGGTGGTAACGGTTGTACAGCTCTGTGAATATGCTTCAGACCACTGACGTGCATGCAGTCTGACAATTAAGTTTGCGAGCTCAGCCTAGGGAAAGTGCTACAGACCTCATTGCTGAAGATCATCAGACCTTCCAAGAATTCCTCTTGGAAGCTGTGCACCGACGCCAGCGCCTAGTCCATCCTTCAAAGCAATTATGGAACTCTTTTTTTTGGAATGGCCAACAGAGCTATCCTTATATCATCCTAATGTCCTGAATGTCATCAAAATGTCTTCCTTTCAATATTTCCTTTATCTTCGGATAAAGAAAAAAGTCACCAGGGGCCAGATCAGGTGAACAGGGAAGGCTCCCTGTCCAACACGGTCATTTGTTTACTGACTAAATCTCCCTCAGACGGTGCTGTGTGAGCTGGTGCTGGGTCATGATGTAAGAGCCACAAGGTTTTGGCCAAGATTTTCAGTTAAGATTTTCTTAACTGGGCTTGGCGCCTATAGCTCAACCGGCTAAGGCGCCAGCCACGTACACCTAAGGTGGCAGGTTCGAATCCCCAGCCCGGACCCACCAAACAACAATGACGG